TTTGTATACCTATTTAAACTTTATGTAAGTTATTTGTTATTTTATATTAGGCATAGCTTGCCCTATAGCATGGTGCATTTTTATTTGTTTTGTTAATGAAATTTCTATGTTTTATATATAGGCTAAAGTGAGTTTGATGTTGTATGTTGTTGTTGCATTCAAGCAATTGACGCCGAACTGCCACTAATTCAAAAGTGAAAGTAAAATGCACACGGCGTTTGACAGCACTAATAAATACATTTACTAATAATTAATGATCAATTTAATGTATTAATAATTAATTTATTAATTTTATTACATTTATAATTTATTACATTTTTTCAGCTTTCAGCTAGCTGCCAAGGCAATATTTCTCATATTCAATTACTAAAATAACTAAAACTACAGTAATTAAAATGAAAAACTAAAACTTAAGCTATATAAAAAACTAGGGATGTAACGATTAACCGCGAGCCGGTTGAAAATCGATTCAAATATGTGATGATTCAAATCAGTTGAAATGCCAAACAAATCGCGATACAACTGGAGTAGGAGTTTACATGAATGTAGTGGTTGCCTCTAATTTTAAATGGAAAGAGCACGGATAAAGCCTTATAAAAGAGATTTATTTTATTTGTGTTATTTATTTGATTTGGGGCTTGTTTTAAAATTTCAATTTAGTTTTGTTATTTAAGTTTACATTATATTTAAATGTTGTCATTTAGCAGACGCTTTTATCCAAAGCGACTTACAAATGAGGACAATAGAAGCAATCAAAACCAACAAAAGAGCAATAATATGCAAGTGCTATATTAGTATATTATTATAGTGTTCTATTTCAATTTCACAAAGAAATGTGCAGCATTTTGTCCAAGCAATAATAAAAGGACACATTTAATTTATAATTGGTCTTAAATCTCATTTTGTAAAAAAAAAAAAAATAATTAAAAAATCGTGAATCGAATCGTGAGTTGAGTGAATCGTTACATCCCTATAAAAAAACAAAGATTTTACTGAAAACAGAAAAAAAAAATCACAATAGAATTAATAAACTAGCATTTAGCAATGTGTAAATTTAATTGAAATATGTAATCAATTTAAACACAAAGGGCCAGGGAGTGTGCAGACCTGCTGGGGTCATGCAGCGTCACGCTGCGTTTACTGACCTGTAACAGGAGCGGCAGCAGGAATCGCAGAAGCTCGTCACACTCCAGCACCCAGGTGAGGAACTCGTGTCTGTCTAACATGCCATCCTGTTACACATGTACACATACACACAATAAATAACCCCACCAACATACACAAAAACACTCCCCTTTTGATAAATGACTTAAAACATGGTGACAGTGGGTAGTATGACATATCTTTAATGTGGCATGACAAGTGATCGTATCAATTTCAGAGACAGGTGAAAATATATTAAAAACATCTTATAAAAATATCATTTTCTCTGGCTCACTTAAATCCTTTTATATGACTTGGGATGCCTATATTAAAGGCCTACCTTTTGCACCTGTAACTGGCATGGCAACATGTAATACTTGTCATCTGTTAGAAGGTTTTGTTTTTGCTATTTACTTATATATTAGTTAATTATATCCATTTTATTCCACTTGTTATTATTTATTTATTTATTGCTTTTCTGCCCATCTGAGATAATATGAATGATTGTGGAAGGGATTAATAATGGACAATATCTTACTGTTTACCTTGATATCGTTATTTCAATCTGTAGTCACAAAAACCACCAATAAAAAGATTTGAAGTAAAAATATCTTCATTTGTGTTTCAAAGATTGGGTTTGGAATGACGAGGGTGTATAAATGATGACATTTTCTAATCTTTGCGGGACATAATTCCAAGTTTCTTTGTTGCACTCAGTGCAAACTAACAGCCCTCTGTATTACATGAAGACAGCAGCACCGCATCTGTAAATAAAACTGGGCTCACCTACCTGAAACATGAACATGGCCAGCTTCTCGTTGTACTCCCACTGTTTCATGGCGGTTTCCACCTCAGCAGGAGGAGCGGGCAGAGGAGACCCACAGCCCTGGCTGGGAGACTGTCTGTAAAACTCTGCCACCTTCTGCAGCTGCTCCCACAGGTATTTAGTAATTATCTGAGTCCATTCTGCAGAAGCCAGATAAAGCCAGTGAGGCATTGCAGCACAAAGCCCAACTACACAGCACAACAATCTTCATTCACAGATTAAACGAGGACAGCGCTGCATGTTCAATTATTATACGAGCATATAGAGCGATGCACAATAACCACACTAACCTATGCAGGGGTCAATGACGTGCCTCTTCTTCACCTTGGTTTCAGTTATGGCAGCGTGATACGCACACGTCATTTTAATCATCCAAGCAGATCGCATCACCGGCACACAGTACTTGGCAAGGTAGCCAAACACTTCCTCTTTCTTGCTGAAGATGGGAACCTAGTGCACACACACACAGCAATTAGTCTAACGCAAAAGCCAAGCTTAAAAACCATTTGACCTTGTAATGTGAAATGTAGTAATGCTTAGAAGTTTTTGTGTTCTGTTAACCACATGTTCTGGATCTGCACAAGCGCTCTGTTCAGAGTTTATACACCGCAGCGTGGCAAAAGCGAACCTTTTTAGCGAGCTGAGTTAAGGGTTTGGTCCCGGCCAAGTCTGTAAACCAGTTATTAATGGAGCTCTGCGACCGCGCTGTGACGAGCCAGAAGTTGTCCTTCTGATTGACCTGCGGCTTCCTCTTGCCGGTGTCTGGAAATGTGTTGCAGCGTAACTTCTCCGCAATGATGCTGCTGAAGTTTGAGCTGATCTGAAAAGCAGAAGGTAACAGG